GTTACTACCTTCTATCTGTACTGTATGTGCGCGCCACCTCTTCAAGTCGATCTGAATGGTTATTTCCTCCTCATCGGCATCGTTCATATGCACCATTCTTCTGTGCAGAGCAAGCAGCATGGCCCGCCCATCAGATTTTACCTTCTCTGATTGCCACGATATCCTCCTGCACGGTATGTTCGGAGCCTCTCTTTTGTATATACTATCATGAAGAAACACCTACAGTCATCAATCGTACTGTTACTGTTCCGTCGTTGCACGCTCTGTTCTTTCGCTTTCGCTACTGACCAGGTTTTACATCCATAAAACTCTGCTTTCGGCACAGTGTTGAATGGGTGTTGGAAGTCCATCTAATTTTCGTCACTTGGAGGCGCTGGCAATGTTAAGAAATTTGCTTCAACCAGCAGCTGTGCTGTGAGCAGTTCTCCGGCTAGAGATTGTGGCAGTATCTGATTCTTTTCGTGAGATTTGTTCACAATGAAAATCGTGTCACTGCAAAATGCAGGCGGTTGAACTGTTTTGAGCTCGAATCAGTTTCCCAGCATGTGGAACATGACTTGAAGATATGAAAAAAAAAAAAATTTTGGTGGTAGAGGATTGGCGTGCTGTACACCTTTTTTTCGGTCGCTGAAGACACAATTTAACTTATGTGACTTTTTTTTTGGATGTAATTTTCATCATTTTTCGAAAAACGACTCGGACCAAAAAATTCAGCTGGATGTTATCGAACTGTTTCGTGGACTGGAATTCGGTCCTCTCCAGTGCGCTCTAGCATCTGTTTTGGAGCGAAAGTATGATACTCATGCTCGGTTGATACGCCGGACTAGTTTCACAGGTGTTGTACATCATGAAACTTTTCAAAGCGATTTTAAACGGTTTATAAATGCAAGGCGAGCAAACAGATTGCGCGATAATTTTCAGGTTTCTTCGCTGTCCTTTTGCATCAAAATTTTTCGGCTTGCTACGGGTTATCGTAGTCTAGTGCCAACGAGCCGCAGATCAACAGCCTTCCATAATTTGTCCAAATCGTTGCTGATGAGGTCCGCGTAGGCGCTGATTCTGACGGGAGCTTTTTCGTCTTTTTTTTTTTTTTTTTTTTTTTTA